GTAAATCCGGTAGGACATCGACAGGTGTAGTCTGCAATATCGTCTGTACAAGTACCACCGTTCTGACAAGGATTGGGGMTGCAGTCATCGATGTTTACAGAACAGGTTTTACCAGTAAATCCAGTAGGACATCGACAGGTGTAGTCTGCAATACCATCTATACAAGTACCACCGTTSTGACACGGATTSGGGCTRCAGTCATCGATATTTACAGAACAGTTTTTGCCAGAAAATCCTTCAGTACAGTTGCAAAGGTAGTCTGCAACTTTGTCAACACAAGTGGCTCCATTCTGACAAGCATTGTGAGTGCAATCGTCAATATCAACAGAGCAGTTGGCCCCGGTAAAACCAAGAACACAAGAACASTTATATTTCCCAGCTGTACTAGTGCAAGAAGCTCCATTCACACAAGGGTTCAACTGGCATGCGTCAACCTCTACGCTGCAGTTACGACCAACAAACCCATCTTTACAAWGACAGCTGTAATTTCCAGGAGAATTCAAACAGATTCCATTAATACAAGGATCAGGCTTGCAGTTATCAATAACATCAGTGCAGTTTTCACCTTCAAATCCATTYGCGCACGAGCAAGAATAATTCCCTACGAGATCATTACACGTACCGCCATTAGYGCAAGGAYTTTCCGAGCACTCATCGACGTTGATCTCACAGTTTCGTCCAGTAAACCCATRAACGCAGCCACACGAATAGTTTCCGATCGAATCCCGACAGGTGCCCGAGTTTTGACAGGGTGAGCTTTTGCAGTCATCGATATTAACGTCACAATGACGCCCAGTWAAGCCACTAAAACAAGAACAAGTGTATCCTGCGACTTTATCTACACACGTGCCGTTGTTACATGGTTTGGCTGTACAATCGTCGATGTCTACTTCGCACGAATTACCCGTGAATCCATTACTGCAGTGGCACGCATATCCGCCATGGAGGTTTCTACATGTTGCACCATTTCGACAAGGATTTCCCGAACACTCGTCCACATCAACTTCACAATCTGAACCAGTGAAGCCAATTGCGCATGCGCATGAGTAATTAGACAACGGCCGCAAAGGATCATGGAAGCAGGTCCCATTGTTTTCACACGGGTTGGCATCACACTTATTGATCGGCTCAGAACAATTACTTCCGGTAAACCCAGGTATACACCGATCGCAGTACCGACCACCGAACTTCGGTCGACATTCACAGGTATAGTTTCCGTCCCCTCTGACGCACGTCGATTCATTTTGACATCTGTGTCTGTAACATGGATTGAAAACCTCACAGTTCTTTCCCTCATAACCGGCCGCGCATGTGCAGTTGTAGTCTTCAGCCTCGTCGATGCACGTGGCTCCATTTTGACACGGAGAACTTGTGCAATTATCCATTTTCAGCTCACAGTGTTGTCCCATATAGTCCTTGACACAAGAGCATTTGTACTGTGAACCCGACACCTTCAGACACGTTGCCCCGTTTTTACAGGGATCATGCGCGCAAGGGTCTATGGAAGAACTACAGTATTTTCCCGTGAAACCTTGCGCGCAAACACAGTCAAATCCCGTACTAACATTAACACATGTCGCTCCATTGCTACAGTTGCTTACTGTGCAGTCGGGAATACGAATGCTRCAGTTGGCTCCAGTCCATCGTGGAAGACATGTACAATTAAAAGTATTACCAAGGTCGACGCATGCGCTGTTGGCAGGACAAGGATTGGAAGCACACGAGGAATTTCTATGACAACCGGTTTGTATTTGGGTGTGCGTCACTGCGAGACCTTCTTGAGATGATGGCGATAAAAGATGAACAAAGCGACCTTGAAATTTAACTCCCTTTAGGCAACCTTGAAATGATTTTGTGGTCGACATACCTGCATGGAGAAGGAAAAGAAAATGAAATGATTTACAATTAACACTAATAAATATTTACTAGATATATATATAAAATTGCAGTTAGCAAACGTGTCATCAAGGCATCGACGGATTCACATGTCGGCTGTCAATGGTTCCGTTTGCATGATATCGTCTTTTACTACCACTACCAAAATGCTTCGCGAATTTTCTTTCTTATTCAAAATTGTATTTCCTCATGAGAATAGTAAGACATTGGTGCTAATTAACTGAACAAAAGAAAGTGTGCAAGGGATTCTGGTAGTGGTAGTAAATGACGTTATAATGCAAGTGACCTATTCGTGGTTTGTTGGAAAACTATCTGTGATCAAATCAAGATCCATCGAAGATGCAGCTTTGAATTTTGTGCTGATCGAGTCAAACGATTATTGSGTCATAATGAGATAATCTAATACGTATGTATGTTATGTCATAATTGCGTGCGCACAAAAAAGATTTTGATTGAATGATTTTTTTTGAGCAAAGTCATGATTTGCTGTTAGTCCTTCGAACAAGATATTATTACACATCCTTTGAAATCAGAAAATCTTACGCAAAAAAAAAAAATGGAGAAAGTATAAAAGGGAAAGAACAAAAAAAAACTAGGCAGTTGAGCCCGCGATTTAAGCTGCAACCGTGTCTTTTGTAGGGGTGAAAGAATATTCCAAACAGCACTGTCAAATAAAAGTTTAAACGGTTATTACCTTTAGTCTTTGGATATGGGAATCCGCCCAAATGTACATAGATGTTTTTTCCATCAGTAATGTCCAGTACAGTCTGGCTGCCCTGGATGTCCATMTCTTTAGCATGTGTTTCATCTATAACTACACGCACGTGCTTATAACGCCTTGACCACGTGACCTCGTGCCAGTCACCATCACTGATTGGCTTATCGAGAACRATAGAGGAAGTACCTACAACGAGTTTGAAGGCAATATTAAAAAGACACAGTCAAATATAACAGAGTGGGACTGCCTCCCAGTCTAGCACGTCTGACTTCGTGCCAGGTGGCCATCAATGATTGGCTTATCAAGAACAATAGATGAAGTATTCATTGAGGGAAAATGGGTTCTAGTTTTACCTGAGCCTAGGTCAGCGGTAAATCTCAGTCGACCTGACAATATGTCAATCATGAGGAAGTCGGTATTGGTCCCTCCCGGTCGCCATCCAGCGTACATAAGGAGACCKCCGACCTGAATGGTTTGGAACCAAAATGATCCTTCTTGGCCGAAGATCCATTGAGTAGTATTAAGAATGACTTCACTGTAACTACTGCTTGATAGATAAGTTATGGACGTACCTAGGTGATAAGTAGTGATAATTATTATTGGAAAAAATATTGAACCAAGGAGGTACAAACGTTTTGTATGAGTTCACATTGAAAGAGAATATCGTTACTTTTAAATTAAAAATAATAGTAATGATAATAACAGTACAGTATTTTCTTGCTATGTCTTTCACCATCGCAGCCATGTCTTTGCACTCTTAGCAAAACGTGTAGGATTATCGCCGCCATGTTGGCTTACCTCAAACAAACTGAGATATTTCTCATTTTCTATATAATTCTTTTGCTGCACGGTTTTTTTATCGGTGACAATTAAAGATCACTCCTGTATTGGCAAACACACTAAATCAGATCGTATGCAAATTGCCCATTTCAGATCACATGACATTCCCTTGAGAATTGTACCTTTATGACAAACACGTTAAAATATTTACGCATGAAAAAAAAAGAAAAAAACTTCTAAGAGTGGAATTACATGGCATCCTTGGTCTGTAATAGTCTATACTTACTGTTCTGGCAGGTTTTCCCAGCGAAGTCTGCCAAACACCTACATTCAAACCCAGTCCAGGTAGCCAGACAGGTACCGCCATTATCACACATACCGCCATGACAGTTGYTCTCCTTCTTGCAACCAGCACTTGGCAACGAATACCCAGAACTCTTAGCAAGCTCAAAGGTCTTCGGTACGTCATTAATTCTAACCTTTCTTGTGCAACCGCTGTACGTTTTCGATCCATCGAGCACGAGACCCAAGTCCGCCAAGCTGTTAAGGAGATTCCCCATGTAAAGCTTRTCTGCAAAATGAGGTATTGCTATATTGACGAGCTGRAGGGTTGTTTTGRAAGRATCAACGCTGATGGTCATGTGGCCGGAAGTRACGTTGACTTGGACTTGGTGCCAGGCTCCGTCGCCAAGGTTTTGTCCGAGCCTCTTGGAGGTTTGGGTGAAGTAATCAACGTAATACCCTGCAATCAGTTGACCTCTGCTCAAGGACAGACCGAAGGAGCCTGGTGTCGACTGCAAATAGTACAACGAAGATGATTGGTTAGATTACATAATTTAGACCTTTTTACCTTGGGCGTAATGTTTTCCTATTTCAGACCACGTGTCATTTTCTTGAAAATAAGATTCTTTGTTTGAGTTGTATCCGTATTCATGTGTTTTTGATGYGTAAATGTTAAACAAAGAAATGATACTCAAGGGAATGACATGTGGTGTGAAATGGGGAAGCACTGTGCCAAAAGTAAAGAGGTTTATTATGGATATAACGTATGGATATAACGTAAGGATAAACGAACTTATAAAGAGCTTAGCACTACAGTACTTACTTCTTTCTCGGTAAAGATGAGAACTCCATCATTAGCAGCTGTAAACTCAAACGACAATGACGTAATAACGGAAGAGGCCTGGAACACAAGCCCGTTGTTGTCATCAGAGCTGAAGGTAGCGACAGCTTGCTTGTCACACAGTGAGCCGTCGTACCCTGTCTTACACTCACAGCGGTAATTCCACCATTGATCCACGCATGCTCCRTGTTTACATCGGTTGTTCTGGCAGACGTCTGTTCTGGCGCATCCCGCTTGTATRTTATTGGAATAAGGCAGGAAATGTGATATCATGTCTGTTAATCTGTTGATCTGGAAGTCCTGTCAAGTGAACGAATAAGCACGTTATAACAAGCTCTCTGGTTGGTCATTTACACCACTGAATGTTATAACACTTATTCTGATGGTCATTTACACCACAATGTTATAACACACACTCWGATTGGTCATTTACACTACAATGTTATAACACGCTCTCTGAAAGCGCGCATTTGTAAACGAACCAAGATTCTTACCTCGATACAACCAATAAAATAATCCTTCCCGACAATATGAGTTCTTATCAGGGGGGTCATCTCCTTAAAGCCACCCATCATTGGTAAACCACTGAACAAAGACGTCCCTGTACGCTTTAATGTTGCAGTAGCTTGACAGCTCCCCCCGGAACACGAGCTTGATTCCACGCTGACTATGGCTCTGGTTAAGTCGACCTCTACYGAAAGCCTGTGAAACGCGCTGTCGTTGAGGTTAGCGCCCACGGAGATTACAGCCGTGTCTGCACCCATGTTGAATGAAACACGGATTGCGCCATTGTACAGCTCTACTGCCAAGTGGTGGGGATGTTCTTTGGTCGTATCCTACAGCAATCACAAACAGTTAGAGCAGTTTTCGCATGACYGAGAAAAGCTCAGTGCTGTAAGCGTGTCGTGCCGTGACCGCGATGTTTTTTTAGAATTTAAATTTAAATTTTTCTCGCGCGCGCAATGTGTTTRGTCTGGCAGTGCCGTGTCCTTGGCGTGACCGTTGGCGCGCCATATTTATGCCGTATTCCGGGTATTTGATTGGATGGAGAGTAAATTCTCGGGCAATGTGATTGGTCTGGCGATCGCGTTCGTGCCGTGAGCTTTTCRCAGTCATGAAAAAATGCTYYATAGAGAAGATTTTGTACTGAAACGCTTCGGCACTTAGTATTGTCGCAAACGCATAGRAAATATCATTAATCAGAGAATAAAWATACYCAGACAAGATCACGGTCATCCAAGCTTTTCACAATCAGAAAYTTTGCTCTAACCATTCACCACTCCGCATATAAATACTAACTTACCCCTCCTTGATAGAGCAGGAGACCGTCGGGGACACTGGTTCTGAATTTAAAAGTCACGTGGGCCGGAGSAGTGAGAGCCTGGATCCAAATTGGTATATACGATCCTTGTCTAAAACTGATCACGTGCAGTGAGTCACATAACTGACCCATATATCCATCTGCGCACTGACATTGATAGCTGTTGACTTTATCCACRCAGGTCCCGCCATTTTTACATGGGTTAGAAGAACACTCATCAATATCMASGCCGCARGTCAAACCTGTGAAACCGGCTTGACAGGTGCATGTGAAMTTGTTACCTGAGGTGGAACAGACGCCGCCATTTTGACAGGGCTTGGTAGAGCAGTCAGTTACCAGGCTCCTGCACTGTACGCCCKTGTATCCTGGTGCGCATGTGCAGGAGAATCCATTTATCTGGTTGGTGCAAGTGCCGCCATTTGCGCAAGGCATGCTGGAACATTCATCAAGGTCTACGTCGCAATGAACACCGGTATATCCTGCTGGGCATGTGCAGTGGAAGCTACCTGGTGTATTATGACAGGTGCCTCGTTTGCAAGGCGAGGCTTGGCACTCGTCGACGTCCACGGTACACTCATCTCCAGTCCATCCCGGCTTACATAAGCATCTTCGCTTTGAATTGAATATTTGGCATGTGCCATTGTTCTTGCAGATGGTTGAATGACATATAGAGCTGTTGAACTGGCAATGCTGACCTACAAGTGAAACGGCATATATCAAATAATAATAATAATAATAATAATAATAATAATAATAATAATAATAA